AACTGGACCCAATATATAACTTCGATATTGCCACATTTCCTATGAAACACCAGGAGAAACACATAGAGAGACACACACAAAGAGAGCTAGAGACACACACGCAAAGATATACAGTAAAATGGAGAGATACACACATAGGGATACATAAGGTGATGTACATAGGCTGGATTATGAACCACTGAAGTACAGACACATACAGATTTGAAGACATAGTCACAAAAATAGACACATTTATAGGGATACACAGTTACACAGGGAGATACGCACATAGCGAGTTACAAACACAGGGAAACACACACACATAAAGAGAACCTGTCACATATAGGGAAAGACACTGAGAGATAAATACATAAAAAATACAGGTAATGGGGATCTGCACCATTACAAGTCGCATTTAATTTATCTGCTTGAGCAATATGCACAGTAACACATTTGTCTACTTACCAATCTCTTTATGTAGCAGCAAGAGAACCCACCTGATGCACTGCTTGTTGAAGTAATGCATGCAGAAATCCCACATCTGCTAGCAAGTTAGCTCCCCATCTGTAAAATGTCATATTTTTCAAATTAAATTATTTTGCATTAATGAACACAATACTGAGAAATAAGTAAATATCTTCAATACTTCTTTCTACTTAGATGTTCTTGCATTAAGGTCCTTTAAAGAAAGAGGTATGACTGATATATAGTTAAATATAAGATGTGGAGGACTGCTAAGCAAGTGAACTATCGGAACATGTTAATGTACATGTATATAGTTTGTGGGTGGAAGATGCTGTATTATTTTTCATGAGCTCCATACAACATATCTTTAAAGGGACACTCGTGGCTTCTAATGCAAATTGACACTTTTATAAATTGATACTTTTATAGATTTTTTTTAATAAATGTATAAACTGACACTTATAAATTTGTTACCCCCCTTTCCCCCCTCACACCTCCTCTTTTCAGCTAAACTTAAGAGTCAGGCAATTGCCCAGTGCACCTGGCTTGCAAAGACTTGAACTGCACTCAGAAGTCTATGATTGGACAGCCGCTAAGCTTCAGGGCTGGGGAAGAAAAGAGATTTGCAACTTTTGCAAGCTGTTAATGCGATATGCACAATTAAATGCATGCATATTTTTGGGGGGATGTATCTACTTAAAAGTGACCTTTTTTTAAAAATAGGGGAATAGAGTGTCCCTTTAAATTCTTTAATGTGGTACATCCCATTATATGCTTTCTTCTTACATCAGTTTGTTGACACAGGTGCATAGTGCTGCTCACAAATAATACAACTAGAATTATTTTAGTGACATATCCACTGAATGTGTGCTTTTGGTAAGAAAATCATAAAACATGACTTACTGAACTGCCTTTTGGCTTTGAGAATCCAAAGTCTTTCTTGGAGCTTTAAATAGCATTTTCACTTTATAATTCTTCATAAAGGTAGAATTGTCATGAAAACTCATCTCATTGTGCACACATGATATTATCTATGGATGAGCTTCTTCTTTAGAACACCATTTCGTACTCTTGCACAAGCAAGAGAGAACACAAGTGATATGGTTTCTGGAAGATGGGCTCAGGAGCCAAAGACTGGATTAAAGAATTTAGGAGATAGAGAAGTTTAATAATTGTAGCAACCTCCCCATTCTCCCTCTATGTACCAACAGAAAATGCAAACACTCCACAGCTGACATATTCTACTTGAAGGCACATAGATATCTTGCCGGATGAGTTTCACAGGTACCCTTACACTTGATTTCATTTTAACATGATGGTCATTAAATGTGTGTATTAAATATAGTCATGACTATTTTCTTATCTCATGTTAGTGAAGCAAATCAAGCTAGTCCAAGGAAATAGACTTTAATCAACCAGTTATATCGGCATTAAATATCTAAAGATTGTTTGCAGTATTATAACATTTCCATACTGTGAAATGTTTTGCAAATATGAGCAATCAATATCTACATTATAGTTTCTCCTTAAGTAGGTAATCCTGCAACAAAGCATTGTAGGCAGATTTAAGCAAGCTATAAATTATATATAATGCAAAACAGCATTAACAAAGAAATGTGTTAACGATCACAAGAAAGATAGTAGAAAGCTCACAGATGGACGAACTGACAGCACAACTTCGAGACACCTCCAAACAATTCCACAAAGTATGGGACCCATGGCTAAAGGGAGATACAACCATCCCATGGTAACCCACCCACATCGAGACGTAACCAGACAACACCAAGACAAACATCCAAGACACCAACACATAATTCTTAAAAGACACACCTCAACTCTAACATAAGCCCCATGCCACCCTCGGCTCCCTTCCAATCCGAACAAGAGGGCGCCGCAACCGGGGCGGTACACAGGATGTAACCCTAACCCCAACTCTCTGTACCCAGGCCACCTAAACCAACGCCCGATACCCTACCCAGCCCCACTCCCAAAGCCAACCACGAAACAAAAGGAAGCAAAGCACACCTATGACCCCGGGAGACACACAGGCAAACACTGAACCACTACCTGAAAAGGAAGGACTGGGCTAGAATCGGAGACTATTGGAAAGACCACAGGAGGCACCACCCTGGGCATTCCTCGCAACATAAGACCGAAGGGTAAGACAACAGGGACATTAACTAGGCCGCCTAAATGACCCACCCACGACACCTACAGAGCAAATTACCAAACCCACTGAAACCACAGGCTCAACCCAACGACACACCTTTGAACAAGTTACACCACCTAGGATGAAGCATCCGATAGGAGGCCAATAGCAACCCTGACGGGAAAATACACAATAACCCTACCCGAACACCTAACCCGAACAGACCCCCCTCTCCCCACCCCAAAGCATCCTTACAAGGATGACTTAGGCCTACACAGCCACAGAAAATTGAACGACAAGGGAATAATACACCGAACTTGAATCACAAACTATACAACCCATTGTCAAACTGCTAACTTATACAACTGTGCTAATATGTATAAAAGCGTACCCTGCAATGGTATAAATGTGAATAGATGGCATTATTACACCCCACCCCTACCATACCCATCTTTTCTGTACCCCTTTCCCCAAATACTGTTATTTATACAAAATCAACAAATAAAGAATTGTTAAAAAAAAAAAAAAAAAAGAAATGTGTTAGACTGCTCGGCGATTCTTTGATGTCTCTAATATTCTTAGTATCTCAGTGGCACTGAAATCTGAACACAAATGAATGTTTATGAATTTGAAATATTTTGTAATTCTGTAATATGTTTTGTTGTGAATTATGAGTTTATATTGTGTTTGTCATTTGACAGAATATATTAACTGATGTGACACAATACATTAGTAACCACCACTAGTGCTAAGGACATTATAGACTATAAATTCAGTAATAAAATCTAAATTTGGCTGAACCCTATTAGTGCACTTGATAGCCAGCCACCTCATAAAAAAATGGTTAAAAATTATAAAAGCCTGTGGGGGTCAATGTAACCATAGTGCAAAAGAGGTTTTCTACGTCTCCTATGCCCACACACCCCACGCCATGCCGCTAAACAGCGAGAAGCTGATGGCTGTTTGCAGACATAAAAGATAAGTTAGGTACCCCCATGCCCCCACCTGTGGTGTGGGTACTTACATATAAAAACCGGACTGAGGTGAATAGATCACTGTCTACACCTCTGTGCCCTCATCACTGTCCACATACTCGTGCTTCATATAAAGCACGGTGAGGATCTTATTAAATTAGGATGCATAGGAGGCAAAATGTCTCCCCCAATGCACCCCACCTGCTGTCAGCTGATAATTGAAAAAAGCACAAGTGGGCAATAGTTTGATTGCTGAAGATTTAAATTCCCAAGACAATGATTGATATAGTAGTTCAGCTAGAAGTAGGTCAGCTAGGGGTACAGATTTTTTAAACTGCAACATTGCATCATCACATATCCTCTAGTAGTAGAATCAACTCAGGAACTGATAATAACTAATATGGTTTACCTTTTTTAATGCATTTAAACACAAAGAATAAATAGAACAGCCTTACTGACGTGTTTCAAAATACACTTTATGAAAGTTCAGAAGAAACAAACTAAAACTATTGTGGCCCAGGAAATGTACCTAAAGGTTGTCAAACGACAAAAGTGGTGCCCATATTTAAGGAGTAAAAAAAAAAAATTATCCCAGGAATTATAGACCTGTGAGGATAATATTTGTGGTTGGGAAATTATTTGAAGGTATGATATTCAGCAATGAATTCTGAAAAACTATGTAATCAGTTGGACATGTTTTATGAACGATAGATCATAACAAACTAAGCTCTGTGGAGAAGTGATAGAACACTGTATGTCACTGGATTTGATATATAAAACACAGAATGTTATTCTACAAATTGAGAGAAATTTATTTATATTTTATAAGAAAATACATTTTCTTAGTGTGAAATTTTTATATAAAAACACATTTTCTTTTGAAAATTTAAATTCACTTAAAGATAGAGTGTAGAGGGTTACTGATGGAAACATATCCATCAAACATATGTTGGAATATGTAGTAAGAACATTAGGATTTGTCCTGGGTTAACATTTTAGTCTGTTCATTAATAATCATAATCATTTGCAGGCGGAACAAACTGGTTATTGTAATCCAGTGTAACTAGGATGTTTCATACCTTAATAGGGATTTATATGGATTAGGGGACTGGGCAAATGGGTAGCAGATAACACAGAAACAAGAATCAGGCTACACACTATATACCAGGGTTGCCAGTGGTAGTTCTGGGTCTAGTGCAAGGGTGTCCAACCTTTTGACTTCCCTGGGCCACATTAAGCACAGAGGAATTGTCTTGGGCCACACGTCAAATATATAATATAGATTATAGATAATGTATATAAGTAATATATCTTTAAAAGCCCTTTTCTGGGGGGCGAGGCCTGACCTGCAAGCCGAGTAGTCGCATGGTGGAGGAGCTCCCGCTATCCAGGCTGCTTTTAGGAAAATACTCACCGACACCAAGCCAGAAACGATGCCGGGGTATGCTACCCAAGCTGGGAGCACCCTGGTGAACCAGCCGACACCAGAATTGAGTGTTTCCCATAATCTTGAACCCAAGGAGGCAGGCTGTGGCCCACGGCGGACAGAGTTGGGGGGCGCTCTCCTCACCCCTACGCTGGGGGCACCGAACCGCTGCCAACCTGCTCCCCCCCCCTCAGGACGGGCAGGAGTGATCCCGGTCCAACCTCTCCAGGCAACAGAGTTGCTACAGGCCGAGAGAACAGAGCCTCATCGGATGCACGCTAACACACAAGTCTTCCCATTGGCGGACGCCACATGTGACATCAACTGCCACACGGCAAGGCACCTCACCCAATCTAAGCTTGACGCCATATTCAATGCCTTCTGGGCGAAACTGGTGAGCAGAGAGTGGCAGGCCAACAAATCGACAAACCCACCTGGTGGAAAATCTGAGAGTCCGTGTCGCAGTCGCACTAGCCCTCATCCGACAAAATCTCAAAAATGGCGCAGAAGACAGAAACCTCTTCCGCACACGTAGGCAGACACGATCGAGCCACACAGCGAGGTCAGCTTGAAAGGGCCCAAGGGCCTCCACCAAACCCAACACAAGCCTGAGAACCGCGACACAACCACCAACAGACAGCCCTACCTTACAGCATCGATTCCAGTCACCGCCTAAGAGAGCCCCAGCAACCCAGACAGAGACACCATCTACAGGCAATACCAGCGCAGAGCACCACAGTGACAGGCGGACAAGAAAATCAACAGTACGTACAAAGCTGCCCCTTGCCTGGCCCCAGCAGGACTCTCACGCATCTGCCAAGCTTTTTCCTACACTGGGTATAGGCTGACAGGAACACTACACTCCGGGAGGGCACAGGAGCCCCTGCACAACGCCCATGTCGCACATGACGCTGCCCAGAATACACAGCAGCCGCATCAACAGAGACTGACTGACACCAGAACACATTTAAGAAATCCTGCATGCCTGAATGTTTCTACTTTTCTTGTGTTTCTTTTAGACTTAGCATCCTTATGACAATGCTCTTCTAATCACATAATGTTGTGCCACACACACGGGTCAAGTCACCAGAAGGCCTGTCACATACCAGTCTCATGCTGATAAGCCTGGATGCCTGGCACTATCTTGATATCTACAACCTTTCTTACATTCTTGTATTATAAGCATGTAACATTAACCACTCAGTAACGTCTGACTATTCATTTGCCTACCTAATCTATTTTATTAACACTCTCATTTCTGCCATCTCCCATGAATGATTCATAAGTCATGTTTTCACCCAGACTTGTAGGTTAAAGCTTTTGCTATACTGCGGTAGTATACAGCAACTTAATCCTAACTCACTTGTATGCTAAACTACAATGCAGTAACTGTTGACCAATGTTAAGCCTGTTGTATCGACTTTGTTTATACTTAAAAAATGTGCGCGTACTAATGCCACGAATAAGTCTGTATGCATATCTATATGAACGCTGTTGTGGCGTATGAAAATGTCATGTACTTACCTGCACAATAAAAATATATAAAAAAAGCCATTTTCTTAATTTTGATATTTTAATTGTTTAGTAGATTGTATAGATTTGTGACTTTGTGTATAAGTCTGTAATTGTGTGTGTGTGTGTGTATCTGTTACACTCGTATAACTGCTGGGCGCGCGATGTGTTTGTGCGATTGGCACATTTAAGAATATCAAATTAGGGAGCTATCTACTAAACACATACACATGTGCAGTGACCTATTTGCTGCAAGGCAAACAAGGCATTTGCCTTGGGCAGCACATTCCAGGGGGCGGCAAAAAACACCACCCCCCAATGCCCATGCAAATACCTTGTTAGCCTGGGGCAGGCAGCTAGCTGAATTCCAAGGCGGGTGGCGAGGGAGCGCTGATTTGTGAGCTCTCTCTGCTCAGGTCCCCCGCACCCACAGAGTGATGACTGGAAGCTGGAATATGCCGTCTGCCCACCACCCACCGCCCACCTTGGAATTCAGTTGGCCGCCCAACTGCCTGCACGCCTGCATCCCTCCCTGCCCAAACAGCCTGGCCAGCAGCCTCACAGGACACCAGTTAAAAAATCCACCCAGCTCTCCCAAAGGTAGGGAGGTTGGGCAGATTTAAATTAAAATTTAACTGGTGTGTGTGTATGTGTCTGTCTGGCTGGCTGGCTGGCTGGCAGTGTGTGTGTGTGTGTGTGTGTGTGTGTGTGTGTCTGTGTCTGGCTGTGTGTGTGCCTGTGTCTGTCTGTCTGGCAGTGTGTGTGTGTCTGTGTGTGTGTGCCTGTGTCTGTGTCTGTCTGTCTGGCAGTGTGTGTCTGTGTGTGTGTGTGTGTGTCTGGCTGGCAGTGTGTGTGTGTGTGTCTGTGTCTGTCTGGTGTGTGTGTGTGTGTCTGGCTGGTGTGTGTCTGTGTGTGTGTGTGTGTGTGTGTGTGTGTGTCTGGCTGTCAGTGTGTGTATGTCTGAGTGATTGTGTGTATCTGTGAGTGAGTGTGAGTATGTCTGTGAGGGAGCCTGTGTGAGTGATTGTGTGTGTCTGTGAGGGCAATAGATATAGATAAACACAAAAAGAATTCAGTGCTAGTAATCACAAAATTAGTCAAGGTAGGCAGCAACCCAAATAAAGGAAAACCCCTCGGGTCCTTTGGTGGATAGATACAAAAAGATATGGAAGGGCTGCGCCAAATAAGGGTAGATAGCCCAGTAAAGTATTGCTAGGGTACCAATAGATGGTCTAGGATACTTGATAGAGTTCCTCTGTGGATGCGTCTGGTGTAGACCGTTCCGTATATGTAAATACAAGAGAGGTAGAGGCGACTAATGGTATAGTATGAAAGTTCAGGGTGTGATAGGTAACAAAAAGTAAAGAACTCACATTCAAGAGAGCTATGGCCAGCTCTGGTGTGGATTGCGTACAGCGGTATAATCCCCGCTTATAGGATATGTAGGGAGGGGGTCTCCGTCAACACCATCTGGTAGTCCAGAACTCGGAAAAGAAAGACAGAAAGCAACAATAGTGCTCTCAATTTTGATGTGGTTCAATGTGCAGATAAGAAGATGTAAAAAACTCACATTTGAGGGAGCTATGGCCAGCTCTGGTGTGGATAGCGTACAGCGGTATAATCCCCGCTTATAGGATATGTAGTATATGAGCTAAAATAGGTTGGGAGGTTTTATAATAAGAGTTGAAAAACACACCATGGATAGGAGACTTGCACCATTTAATGATTGGATTGCCTTTTTCAATTCATTCTCCACAGTAGTCTACCGAAGCAGTTCCTCAACTTCATCTAACAGGAACGGTAGAGTACAATCACATAGAAATACATCTATCTCCTGTCTCAAAGGTTGGTGAGTGCTCTTATTATCTTTCAGATTATACAGTTGCTGGAAGTAATTTGAAAATGTGTCAACATAATGTTTTGGATTGATTATGTTCTTATTTGTTGAATCAAAGAGGTATGACAATTTTTTCTCGTCATTTATTGTCTCAATTTATTATCCAGACTATCTGATGCTTTGTAATGCAAATCCAGTTACCTTAATTTAGTTCTTAGAGAGAGCTGCCTTAGTATCATCGGTTTCTTTAACCCTGCTAAGAGAATAAAAAGCTTTATCTTGTTCCTCCAAGCATTTGTTGGGTTAGTGACAGTGCTTTTTTGTGCTTTCTTAATCTCAGATACATATGGAATAAAGCAATCCCGAATTACAGCTTTGTGGTAAAGCCAGATTGTTGAAATGTATAATTCTGCAAAGTTTTATTCCTTAAAGCAATTTGTTAAGTGTCCCAAGAACAGTGGTTTGGTGGAAGGAAGAGTCAATAGTTGTCCATTTATATGCCACAGTCCTTTGTCTGTTTGCTGGCTGGTTTCTTCCACTGACAAACACGAGAACATGATCTGACGAATGCATCGCTTTATCTACAGAAGTTACCATTCCAAGTCCATAGAAATGCTTGTCCATAAATAATTTGAAAAGTTTTTCTAACAGATTGTGATTATTTGAAAATCCGATCCAAAAATATTAAATTGGGGCCCATGTCATAATGTCTACTGTAGAAGTAAAAGTGCTCCAAGTTTCCGAATTAGGTGAGCTGAAAAATATTTTCCTGGAACATCACAACTTGCTAGTGAAATTTTGTACCTATGTCTATTGTATTTAGGAATAATACTTTCAAAACCATAAGCAACCATGTAAGGAAAATATATGCTGATGAGAAACTAAAAATGCTGACAGAAAATAAATAACAACAATGAACAAAGTCTCCTTTAGGCCAAATGGAGCCAGCTGGGGATTTCTCTCCTAACTCAGCTATTTTAATCTCTAATTTGTAAGTGTAATTTGATCATCAACGCGCAACTCTTTGTTTAGTGAATATTATACATTGGAGAATGTTCCCATTTATATTTGTTGTTGTTGTTAACTGATAACATGATAATATCATGCACATCAGAGAGGATTTGTTTAGTACTTGGAAAGGCTCTAAATTATTGCCATCTTCATTACAATATCCCATTTATTACCTGCCTTATACACAAATAGACAAATAGACATAGACAAACACTTTCCCCTTCAACAAAGATTAAAATGAAATAGTACTTTGTTTTAAATGCATTGCGTAATCTATGCCTTCTTATCTGAGTGTGCAAGTTTGCAGATAAATGATAAATGCTCTCTATCTTTGAAAAGATTGATTCTGTGACTACAAAAGAGTATTGCTTAAGTGCAAAGCACCCAGGCACACAGCTGCAACAGGCTATACAAACATACACAACATCACTCACACACATTATGTTTGCTAATAAAGTCCAAACTCCGGTATTTTACTTTGACAGTATCAAAGTTCAACAGATTGGTAATCATGCAAAAATAAGCATGCGAGTGAATGTATTCACTGACCCTGGTTTGTCTTGATTTGGACAGTTACCATGGAAACTATAGCAAAAAACAGCATTGCTATGCTTTCTGCAGCATTGCATAATCTGCTGTATCCGCTGCTTATTTACTCTTGAGCAAGCATATTTTTTCAGATGTTTTGTTCATTTAATCAGGTATATCTACTCGGACTACACAAAGTGCTGTTGTATAAAGCTGGCTGCCTTGCAGAATCTTTTTTTTTTTTTTTTTTTGCTGGAATGGCAGATAAGAAATGGCGAACAATGTAAAAATGGAAACAATGTTAATAAAACTAATTTCTGTTTTTGGGTTCTCTCTGACCCCCTGTATGCCATCTGCAAAATTCATGAATTTTTCTTTCTTTGGCAACTTATTTTTCATGACTATTTTGTAATGGCCTTTACACTTAATATATACACACAAAAACATATTTAAATGTAATTATTTTTAACAGAAACCGATTTAACATTTCATAGAAAACACAATCACACAAATAAAATATATCTAATATCAGTAATTATTTTTATACTATGTGGAATATTTGATATCAGAACAAACGCATTTAAAAGATGGATATGCACACTTCACTAAAATTCTTAAAAAATATTGTGGGTTTTTTTTGGTTGTTT